CTAGGGCCACTCTCATCGCCCACGGTTCCAGGACTCGAGCCATCCCAGGTCCATGCTGAGGGAGGCAAGCCGTCCCGGGCCGTGCTGAGGGAGGCAAGCTGGAAGGCCCCTCCCTGCACTCAGGGGCCTGGGGCTGAGCTTTGGGGAAGGCGCTGAGAGGGACTGGTGAGTCTGTGCAGCTGTAAGATGAAGCCTGGGATGGGGCTGCTTGCTGGGGTGCTGAGCATCCAGCCTCTGGCTGCCTTGGAATGTAGCCAGGAAGGGCAGGTGCTCCCACATCCAGCCTGGCCCACCAGGAGCACAGGAAGGCGTGGTGGGAACCGGACTGAGGGGGCACGTGCCGGCACAGAGAATCGAGTGGCTGTGTCGGCTCTAACTGAGTGTCAGCCACGTGGGGTGTGTGGTTCGTCACGGGCATGTGCTGATGGTGCCACGCGGGGCCTTACTTGGGAATACAGAGGGGAACGCCTGCGTCCAGACCCCCAGGATGCTCGGAGGAGAGCTATCTGCCACCTGCAGGGTAAGAGGCGGGGCCTGGTGCCCAGCATCAGGACACAGCGCCCCGAGCTCGGCTTCCTGCTGGGACCTTGGGATGCGCAGTGGCGCTATCTCCAGTGCTGGGAGAGCTTCTCTGGGAAGCCAGTGCCACGGCTGTGTGAGGTCACTGGAGCTCTGTCGTCATCTTTTTCTCTGTTTTGGTTGCCAAAAGACTCAGAATAAAATGCAAAGTTATCTTTTAAATGTTTAAAAAAAATTGTTATAGGTTGTGTGTGCTCCCCAGAGAGAGAGAGAGAGAGAGAGCGAGAGAGAGAGAGAGTGAGAGAGCAAGAACGTACTCTCATGGGGGATGACCACTCCACAACCCTTTCTCTTTCGTTCCTCCTTTTTGGGCTTTTGGGCATGTACACACAAGTGATGATGTATTTCTGAGGCCACTATGTTTGGGACTCGAACCTGTGCAGCTGGCCATGTAGGACCCAGCACCTTAACCTCCATGTCGCCTGCTAGTCCTGGCACTACCTGAACACCCTGTGTATCCTGGGTCTGCACTCCCTGTGTGGCTCCTGACGTGCCAGGACTCGCCGCATAGCCAGGCCTGAGTGCGTGTGCATGTCACCCCCCATGCCAGTCACGAACCATCACGCACAGACACTTACGTGCAAGCACTTTGGCCCACAGATGCAATTTTGAAATTGCTGACACACGCCCAATAAAATCTTTGCTGGAATGAACTGCTGCCCTGAAGCCTCCGGTTGGGATTTCTGGCTGCCTTTCCGAGGTATTATCTGGCACTGGTCCCTCTACTGCCTCTGTCATGCCAGACAAACCAAACAGCAGTTCACCGCAGCCACGAGGGCCAGATGCCACAAGGAGACCTGGCCGCCCTCCGGGGCTGCTACGGTGCGTGTCCCACAAGGCGGGGACACGGTAAACTCGCGATCTAGCGAGGACCTGTCCTGGGTCCACACAAAGGGCCATTCTTGCTCTGTGGTCAGCAGCTCAGGACAGCCAGCTCCATACGTGGCCGTGGGTACAGGTCCCCACCCGCTCAGCTGGGCCCATCAGGAGCATGCATGCGCCTGCCCCAGGCTGGCTGGGGGAAGGATGGGGGGAGGGGGACCCCAGGGTGTCCTCCTGGTCTCTCACGTGCACACAAGTTAGAGCGTGCGTGAGCAAAGGAAACGTTTCAGGACGCAGAGGACTGAGCAGTGTCTTCTAGCATTTCCTTGGTGGCCAGTTATGGCGCGGCGGACGCCCCCCGTGGGCTCCAGATCGCTCTCGCAGGTGTGGATGAGCAGTCGCTTCACAACTGCATTCCATGTCTGAGCTTGGCCACGTGGTCGGCAGTACCCTGAGGCCGCAGCCTCGGCACTCTCTGAAAACCTGACCACTGGGACCCACAGGTGGCATAATGGCTATGTCGCTGGATTTCCATGTAGTCTACCACAGTTCAAGTCCCTGACCCCGCAGCTTAAAACTCAACGGCAGGTGCATGTGCGTGCATGCCCAAAATCCTGAGAGGAGAGTGGAGGAAAAGGGATTGCAGAGTGGCCATGCCCCCCAGAGGGTAATTTCTCACTTCCCTTCTCACTGCCTCTCTGGTGAGCACACCCACCCTTTAGTAAAAATCACTCTCTCTTAAGAAAAACAAAAAACAAAAAACAAAAAAATTGATCATTAGAAGGTGGAAAGGGCTAGGTACTTTCACCAACACCCAAACCAGGCTCCATTTTTTGTCATGACTGGAGAAAACCCCACCTGCTCGGCCAGAAGACGCATGCGAACGCCCCGGACGGCTGGGTGAGGGCTCCTGTCGTGAGTCTTGTCAGGAGCCTGACTGAACGGCGCTGCTGCCCTGGGGCTGGCAGAGTGTGCGGCGTCCACAGGGGGAAGCTAGGGCGGCTTTTGTCGTCAGTAAATCTTTTAAAACCAGATGGAAAAGTCAGGTATAACTGGAACCTTCCAAATTTGGAATGGCAGTAGGGAGAAGAGGTTCCTGTATGCGTGGCTCTTACCTGTGCTGCGGTCTGAGACATGTAGCGCCATCCTCGGGCCAGGTGGCGGTGCAGGGTGACACAGCTGGGTTCACGTGGGGCAGGTCCTGGGCCCGTGTCCCAGGCTGTCCTGAGCTCGCCTGGCGCACACGCATGCCTGTGGGCGGGCCAGCACGGCTGAGCACCAGCGTGTGGGGACCCTGCTGGGGTGCCTGTCTCTGTCTCTCTATCACTTTTTCTCTCATGGAAGTAAACAAGTAAACTTAAAAAAAGGAAGAAAATGTCGTCTCTTAGTGAAAAAGTAGCTGATGATATGAGGGGTGTTCAAAAAGCCCAGGAAGATGCGCGTTACGGAAAACTGGGCGTGCACTGCACTAGGCTTCACCCACAGATGCAGGCCTTTCCCGGGACCTTGCTCAGGTTCTCAGAATACAGATCCGAGAAGGAAAGGGGAGGGAAACGCAGCCTTCAGACCCCGCCGGCCCGGCGCGGAGCGTCTCACGAACATTGCCTGCCCTTCCTGACTCTGAATGCCCGTTGGTTGGGGTGGTCCAATCCACAGCCAGCTCCTTGTTTTTTTAATTAATGTGATTTATTATTATTATTATTATTAAATTTGCTATAGGGTGTATGATCTCACCAGAGAGAGACAGAGAAAGAGAGAGGACGAGTGAGAGAGCAAGCCGGCAGATCTGGGACTTGAACTGTGGTTGGCTCTGTGGGAGTCCAGTGTGTTAACTGCCACGCCACCTGCCGGCCCCAGCTAGCTCCTTTTAAAATTGAGGAAAGGGAAGGCCATATGCGTTCAGTGGCCGATGGGGCCCCCACTCACAGTGGCACCGGGGAACCACACCCGGGGCTCTCGCTGGGTGAGTGCTGTGTCCACCACAGCATCCGCCCACATGGCATGGCTCAGTGCACGCGCTCAGGGACACGCCGGGACTGCAGCACTTGTGTGCAGTATGACACATGCCAGCCGTCATGACGCGCGCTCCGTAGACGAAGCCAGTCAGAACAGCCCATCAGGTGGCATCTGCAGACCCCCTTCCAGCCATCTCCCTGGCTCTAGCACCCTGAGCCCTCACCCTAGCCCCCAAGGGAGACGGGCCTTGCTGCCCGCAACCCTCTAGCCCCAAACTTCACTCAGAAAAAGAGACACGTGCCACACAGGGACACGTCGGGCCACACGTTAAGGAAATGTGGGAAAGGAGCCTTTGAAAACTCCAATTTTCTATAGACTGCGGCCAATCAAGTGCTCTCTGTCTCTTACCAAGTTTAAACTTTTTAGCCAAATCTAATCATTTATTTTCCTAATAGCACGATAAGGTTGAACCATATCACTCATCAAGGGCCAAGGAGGGAGGAGGTGTGTGTGGTCAGGGTTTACCAACTTGCTTTTTGCTGAACACATGAACCACACAGGTACCACGCTTTCGGAGTGCAAACTGTGCACACACATCTGGGCCGGCTGACGCTCTCAGGAAGCTGGTGCATGCGCACTCAACACGCTGCTCCTTATGCGACAGCAATGACACAGGCAGGGCGCAGCGGGGCCGGTCGCCTCGAGACCCGCCTGGGCGTGGGCAGAGACAGGCAGCCTCTGGGCTGAGGCTGCCAGCGTGGAGCTGGGGTGGGTGTGCCTGGGCCCCGCTCGCCCTAAAGGACACTACCCCAGTACTGGCTACGGCCACAGGCCGGTGAGCAGAGGCTGGCCTACGGGAGCCGAGCTCTGGGGCGTGGCTGGCCCCGGTCGGTTATCCCACGTGCTCAGCTCACACCTACCGCGGACTGCTGGCCGAGAGCATTTTTCAGACTGGAAGGCTTGTGCAGCGTGGCATAATCAGGACCTTCCCTAGGATGGTGACACTAGGGCTACAGAGAAGATCCCACTGGAAAACAACCCCAAAGGCTGGCGTGGCCGTGAGAGTCCCCCTAGGTCGGAAGGACACGGTTTTGCTGTGCTGCACCGTCAGCGGTGACCACCCACCTCATCCCCCAGGAGCTCCCCCCCGTCACTGTGGCACAGACCTGAGGGCCAGCACTCGCCAGGACGACGCGACCACCCACCCAACACCTCACTAGTGTGGCCCGCCTACTGCCACCTCCAGACGAGACCTCCCGCCACTGCCCAGGCGCGGTGCTAGGGCCGTCCCCAGGGCCAGCTCTGATAAGTGCAGGGACCATGGCCCACGGACGGGCAGGGGTCACATCTGGGTTCACCACCCTACCACGGCCGGGAAGAGATGCGGGAAGGGGCGACGCGCCTCCTGGGAAGGGCTCGCCTCGTGGCTGCGGGCAGGGCGCTGCCCAGGCAGAGGGCTGTCCTGACGTGTGCCCCCGTGTGACCGTCAGCGCTGCCCACGAGGGAGTTGGAGGGTGTGCGTTGGAGCCCCGTGGAAGAGACAGGACTGAGCCCGTCTCCCACGCATGGCCTCCAGGAGCGCCAGCTGCTCGCGGTTCGCAGGGGAGTGTCTTAGACGGCCGGGGTGGAAAGCGCACCATTACCTTCTGTGTCTCGCATATTTGCCACTGACGTGACCACTGCCATCACAGCCGGGCGTGGGACAGCTGCAACAGGAAAGGACTGGTTACAGGGCGCGCCGCGGGCAGGGTGGACGCTCCCAGGGCATCAGAGGGGAGGTGGCCGCCCAGGCAGGGGCCACAGGCTGGAGGGGGAGCACAGGGAGCCTTTCATTAGCAGATGTGGGGACCCGCTGTCTGTGCCACAGGGGTGAGGCAGCGCCAATGTGACTGCACGGGGCACCTGTCCACGGGGGGCCCCTGCCCGGGGTGGGTGGCCCCAGCCGCTGCCGGAGTCATACTCACGCACCTGAACAGCTCCTGTAGGACGGGCTCCGCGGGGACTGCAGAGAGAGGGACAGACAGCCGGTCATCGCCGCCCCCACCCCCGCCACAGAAAACCACGACCGCGGGCAGGCGGGGTCCAGGGCTGCCGAAGAGAGGTTGTGCGGTGCGGGTGGCCCGGAGCCGCCTGGGTGCGGGGGCGTGGACGTACCTCGGACCCCCTTGGAGCGTGTGCGATGGCGCTTCTCCTCTGTGTCCACCTCCATCTGGGGACAGAGTAGCAGGCGGTCAGCGTCCTATCCCGCCGCAGGCTAGCCGTGCATGGGGCCGCTCACCGTCCCTGGCATTCTACCGACAGGCCGGGTCCGTGCACTCTGCAGGGCAGGGTGAGACGGGTCAGTCTGAAGCCTCGACCTCAGGTAGCCTTAGCCAGAGGCTCTGCACTCAGAGAGGACCTGTGGCGAGTCCAGAGTGCCATCCACCCGCTCCCTCTCCGGCACTCGGCCAGGACTGGGGAGATTGGCTTGTCCCCACACCCAGGACGCAGCAGAGAGTGTCCCTATGCTGGCAGGGAGACGCGTGCTGAGGGTGGCCAGGCTCCCCCGACCCGGTGCTCACCAAGGTCCGGTGCGCTGTGAAGAGGCCAGCGCATCAGGCGTCCCTGCCGCGGGGTCTCCCCTCTGTCGCCTCACCCTGGGGTGCGACTGCGACCATGTCGGGCTACAGTAGGCTGCTTTGCAGGGACTCGGACCCGACTGGCCGTGGACATATCTCACATCGGCGAGGTCACGTGTGTTTGACACGTCAGCCTGTGTGCCTACCGGACAACCCTGTGTTTTCACCTCTGCCTCACACTGAGAACACGTGAACTGGAGCCTCGTGACCTGGAGGCACACCGTCTGCCAGGTGCCCTTCAAGCCTCAGCGAAGAAATGCAGGACCCTGATTGCGGTCACCGCCTGTAGGGTGGGCGGGGCAGCACGTTGATAGCTCACAGGGGCACCTATGCCCTCGCCCTGCCCAGAGTGGCCAGGGCTGGTCTTAGAGGAGGCTGCCAGGAACTGGCACAGGACGGTTTATGGCAGAAACGACACTGCTCCCTCTGTGGCCGGTGCCGTCGGATGGCGTGGAGAGAGGGCTCCGGGGCTGTGGCCTGCAGAGTACACGGTGGGGCGGCTGCTCCAGCAGACCCTTAGCGAGGGTGAGTCTCAGGGGGACCTCGGCGCGGCCTCGCTCTGTCACGTGACAGCTGACCGAGGCTGTGTCGGAGAACTACAAAGGACTTACTAGCACTCCCCGAGCGCGCACTGGGAGTGAAAGGTACGCGGCAAACCCCACAGCTCGCCGGATGCGCCTTAGAGAGAGTCCAGGTGCGGACGTGAGGATGCCGGTGTCTGGATTTCAGAGAGGAGCGGCGGGAGGTTCCAGGTGGAACGGTGGGAAAGAGACGCACCATCACCAGCCTGCAGACCGCAGGCCATGAGGGCAGGGAGAGGATGGGCCAGACCCACCAGAGGGGCCGAGGGGAGGCCCTGCCCAGGGAGACCGCGGGAGGTCACAGCGGACTGCGTGGACAGACGGCTGCTGTCCCTTATGGGGGCGGAAATGCCGTGTTCAGAGAGAGCGTGTGGAGGCCGGTCATGGAGGCTCGGGGCCGACAGGGCAGGTGGTGTGGAGGAAGGAGACCGTGGAGGGGCCCGGGGCCAACTCTGACTCAGCCCCGCTGCTCTCTAGCCTGGGAGCGCGACTGCCCAGGGAGGTGCGGGAAGGAGGGCATGAGGTTTAGGTGGTTTTTACAAGCTTATGAATTCTTTTTCATGAGAGAGGAGGTGCGTGAGAGCCAGGGGAGGAGGCCACCGCCCCGCGTCGGCGCTCTGGCGTGCTCACAGAGGTCCTGGGATGTGAACTAGCGGCCTCTCCTGGGTGCGTCTGGTGGGAACCCTGTGCCATGCCAGGCCCTCACAGCTTCAGGTGGGAAATTGGTGTGACTCCGTGGTGTTGGGGCACCTGCTCCTGTTACTGACGTGGCCCGCAGTGTGCAGGAGCTGGGCCTCCCAGTCACGACGCATGACTCTGAGCGTAAGGATGGACGCTCCGGGAAGCAGGGCGTGGAGGCCTGAAGAGGCTGGGCAGCCGAGAAATGGCAGTGCTGAGCCCTCGGCCAGGCGGTAGACAAAGCCAGGCGCCAGCGCACTGGGGTCCGGGAAGCTGTGCTGACAGAGAAGCCGCCTCCCTTCATGGCCATGGTGTGCCCTGGGACCTCGCGGGGCTGGATGCCGTGACCAAGGAACGACATCGCAGCTTCAGGAACTCAAACTGGAGTGGGGATTTCAGTGCGAGGACGCGGCGAGAACATCGCATCCGGCCTGGGTGCGGTCTAGGAGACGGCCGAGGTCCCGGAGGAGGGGTTCGAGTCCAGTTTTGAAGGCTGCTTGGTGATTTGGGTTAGAAGAAGCTGCTCAGGGGGAGGGAACCTGAGGAGTGGGTACGGCCCAGCAGCCAGACTGGCTGCACAGGCTGGGGCCCAGGCTCCTGCCACGCAGACAGGCTGCTGCTCAGCACAGCCCATGCCCTGGCCGGGTGCGGGGACGGCGGGGACTGCGGTGCCTCTGCCAGCTCTGCCCGGGCCACCGGCCGGGCGCCCCTCGTCAGGCAATGTGATCGGAGGAGTGGGTCATCTTCTACATCAAATTCTTCATTTTCAGTGTTTTACCTTCACTGCTTTTTGTATAGCTGCCGGGGTCAGCCTTTTTTTTTTTTTCCAGATGGATAGTCAGTGTTCCCGCTCTTCACCTACCAAGTAACCCCCTTCCCACCCTAAGCTGCCCCGTCACGGAGCCCTCTGCTGGGCTCCCGCCTGCTTCTCCCAGTGCCGACCCTGCCTGGGGCGGCTGTTCGAGGGCGCCCTTCGCTGTCCGCTAAGACCGCCTG